TATCTCACAACTCGGTCCTCTTCATCACAAGAGCTAGCAAAATGCACTACTGCCTAGTTTAACAAACATTTATTAATCTCTTACCATATCTCCAGCATGGGGTTAATTACCAGACCTCCAGAGGTGAATAAGAAAGATCTTGGAGCAGCCCTTATGAACTGGGCAGCATAGGGAGGGAGTAATTATTTCCTTCTCTCTCCTAAAATGTGTATGTTTTTCACAGTTCACTGGGGAGGTGTGAATTGTGATAGGTGTGAGAGAATTGAGCATGGAGACAAAAGCAACTGATTCTGCTTCACTGTGATGGGGGAAGCTCCACAGAAAAATTTAAACATGACGTTGGAACATGGGCAGAGGTGTTTTACCCTAACAAGGATCCTGCATTATATTTCAGTGAAAAAAAAGTATGAAGACAAATATACATACATGTATATATATATATCATTTGTTAGGAGATCTGTCACTTAGAATGATTTTGGCTGATGGCAACAGAAAAATCCAACTCAGCATGGCCTTAAAAATTAAGGAAATGTGTTAGTTCAATTGAGAAACTCAGAAAAAGAGCAGCAGCAGAATCGTTAATTCAGGGACTCAGCACACCTGTGGAAACATAGGTGTTCCATATCTTTCTGCTCTGTTATCCTTGGTGCATTGTCTTTACCCAAAGGTAAGTTCCGGTCATCCAATGGCCATAGCAGTGCAGGCATCACATCCAACAATGGTTAAAGCTGGGGAAGCAGGAGATGATCTCTTCCTGATTTCTCAGTGTGGAGATCTCTCTTAGGAACTTCTCCGTAGACTCCCCTTCTATCTCATTTGCTAGAATTGCACTGGGATCCCTGACTATACCGCCCTTTGTAATGGGTAATGAGACCAACAGTGGGCTGGGCTGGGATCTGCCTCCAGATCCTATAGTGTAATGGCCAAGAGGCAGGAATGGAGGAAGGTAGGTAGATTCCATAGGCAATAAGCTGAATTGGCTTTAAGAACATAGAAGAGTTACTGTCATTAATTCATGGGGAAACAATTGGAATGGTGAGAGCTTTATTTGAAAGGAAAGCAGAAGGGAGATGCAGACTTGTTTACCCTGTCAGGGGCTTGTTCTTAACTTCTGAGCTACGGGATGGTGTCATTTCTAGAAAGTTTTCAAATTACATGGTTTTGAGCAAATAGCATATTTTAAACAAGACACTCAGTCTATCTTGAGACCATCAATAATAATAAATCACAGAGAGCCATTGAAAGAACTAGAAATGTGTCAATGATATGCGTCCTTATAACATACACAGACACAGACACATACATACACACTGTTTTTGTTCCTAGTTAAGACTAAGAATTTAATTAGGAAATAAAAGATACACTTAAAAGCAACTTAAATCAGAATAGTGTTAATGCTATCTAATGGTTATTCTTTCAAACAGTATTTCTGATCATTGAATAACTAATTCATAAATCATAGAACTCTTTATGTAAGGGAAAATAAATAAAAAAGGAGCAGAAACATAAACCTTTTTTTGTTTTCTTACAACTGCAAGTGTTTTCATGGCAAAGTCTTGTGGTCGAGTTAGAAAATAGCCCCCTCTTGTGACTGAAAATCAGCTAATCGGTCATGGAAACATTTTGAGCAAGGGCTTCAGAAGAAGAAAGAAGCAGGAAAATAGGAGGAGGCTGTCCTCTTCAGGATGAGGTTGTTGTTACACTTCTTATGTCAGAAATTCCTGGTTCACAAACACTTGGGACACTCCCTTGTTTATGCTGGCATGTGTAATTATGATTTGTGACTCCAATTTGTATTTGAGCTATCCTGTGGGAAAATTTTTCCCATTCTTTGTTTCCTTCATTTTCTGTGTATTTATTCTTGGCTTTTACAATATGTAGAAGATGAAACAATCATATAAACATGTTAACTTAATTTTTCCCAAACCATACCAGCCACAACTAGGTAGTAATGGAGGTAACATCGCTGGATGGTGAATGGGGATTTAGGAGGACAAATGAACTAGAAAATCAAGTGACCAAAAGTGATTTCAAAAAATTCAACATTGTTGAATCACTTGCCTTGAGTGCTACTTCCAAATCTCGAATGCTATTTAAAGTCATGGTATAGCAGCGTATTATTACTTCAGGTAACCACAGCTAGTGGGTATAATCCCTGAATACTGATGAAAGCATAAAGACTGCCATTTTTAAAAAGATCAAAAAGAAAAATCTTAGGAAAAATTACAGATCTTAGTTTAGCTTTAATATCTTAGAGAACTAATGAAGCAAATCACTGATCAGCCAGTTTGTATTCATCACCAGAAATATGCAGAATGATGTTTTAGAAAGATAACTTTGTAAAGTCAAAAGTACAAAAATTTTATCTAAGTCTGAAATAAACTGAGATAAGAAAGGTTAATGTGTTAATTCAATTCACCTGAGTAGCAAATAATAGATATGGTTATTTGCTCTAACATTTATTGAGAGCTTACTATGAGGCAGGAATTGTGCTAAGCAGTCTTTCTATATTATCTCATATAATACTATCATTATATAACTCACAGTTGACAGATGAGAATATTAAGGCTTGAAAATTTTAAGTAATGTGTCCAAGACAAAGACATAGAGTCAGATTTCACAACCTCTAACACTATGTTGGAAGCCAGGACTGGCATTTGCAGACTCACATACTCCAGTTCTCTGTGTCTGCAGTTGTATCTAGCTTGTCCATGGGTTTCAGCTCAGTCTGTAACAACTGGGTAAAGGGCACTCTTCTACATGATGTAATCCTCAGTTGCTCAACAAAGACTTTGTTGTTAATAGAGTCCACTGGGGTAAATTATAGAACCAAAGTCCAGGAGAAAACAGAGTGGTGTGTTGACTAGAAAGGGAAAAGCCACGGATTCAGTTTGGGAAGATTCTTTAGATTCTTAAAAAGGTGTGGAAATAGACTTTGTGGTAAACTCACTTTGTGTAGAGTGTATCATTAGATGATAACCATACTCCTCTTTAGCATATGGGATCAAATTTTATTGGAGTTTGACTCAGCCAAAGTTCTTTGATGTTGGATCTGGTTTGAGAAGGAATAGAGCAGCCTGTTCTCAACTGGGCCAATCTTGGGAAACTCATTCTCATCTTCAGTAAGTCACATTACAGTCCATTTCCTTGATTCCCTAGTCGAAGGCTCTTCTGGAATGGAGCCATGCATATAAGAGACACCCAACTAATATTTGTTGAATGAGTAGAGGAAATGACACAAAGAAGTCTTAAATTATGAAGGGGAGTAAGTGAGACAAAGGAGAAGGAGGATATTCCAAGTAGAGAGAACAACAAGCAGAGACTAGGCAAACTGAATTGTATAGGGAACTCCAGCTGGCTGAGCCTGGCTCTGAGCAAGGAGACATGATACCAAAGCAGTGGAATTTTAATCACAGCCACCAGCTTTGTTTGAATCTTGACTCTACCTCTCACTAGCTGTGTGTCTTTGGGCAACTTTTTCACCTGTTTGTGTCTACTTCATCAAGTATTAGAAAGATTAAAGTAATTGTAACATAAGAAGTACTTAGAACAGTGCCTAACACATAGTGACTACTCAATAAATATGAACTACTCAAGAAATGTCACCATCTTGGGTGGTGAGGAAAAAAGGAACAGGTCCAAACATTCCTATGTAGAAAAGGAAGAAAGTCAAAAACTGAAAAAGCCAAAAGCCATGTAGAGTATTTGAAGTAGGGTTAACAAGTGGGGTGAAAGCATGTGATTTGAATTTGAGAAAGGTTATTATAGTATCTGGATAGAGAATTGATTGAAGAGGAATAAATGGAAGACAGGAAGACCAGTCAGGAGGCAGTTACAGTAATCCAGAAGGACAAGAGATGGGAGTTAAAACTAAGTCAACACCAGACACTGCCAAAAGGGGAGGGGACATCAATAGAGGGGGAAGTTAGTACCCACAGAACTGGGCACCTAAAATTCTGTTGGGTGAGGTTATCAATCAATGGGAATAGGATACCAGGACAGGAATGAATTTCGAAGAAGATGGGAGGATTTGGTTCTGTACGTGGTGTCTTTGATTTTGAACATACTGAGTTTGAAGAGAACAGCCAAGTTACCAGACCTGGTAGAAAATGGGTAAGTAGGTTGGTACCTCAGTTAGAGAGAAGCACCCTTTCAAAGAAGCTGGGTCCATTTATTCAATAGAGCTGTTTATACTTCTGAACTGAAGAGCAACTGTTTTCTTTAGTTGTTTTAAATGCTGCCTTGACTATAGATACTAATATTTGATGCTTACTCTAGAAAATTATTATTGTAGAATTATTATTCCAGAAAATTATAATTATTCCAGAGAATTATTCTAGAAGATTCTAGAAAATGATGAAATTCTGAAGTCTTTTTGGCAATTTGAGAATATTACTGTATATTTTCAGATACTGACGACTGAAATAAAAACACTGCTGAATCCAAGGTGCACAGATCATTTTTCTTTTTCTTTTTTTTTTGGTAGTACTGGGGTTTGAACTCAGGGCCTCATGTGCCAGATCCACCATCATCCCCAGCACCCTCACCCACTTTTTTGCTTTAGATATTTTTCTGATAGGATCTTGTGCTTTTTGCATAGGTCATCCTCCATATGTGACCCTCCTATCTATGTCTCCTACATAGCTGGGACTACAGGCCTGATCCGCCAAACCCCACTTTTCTATGAGATAGGATCTTTTTTTTTGTCTTGGCTGGCCTTGAACTGTGATCCTCCCATCTCTGCCTCCCAAGTAGCTGGGATCACAGGCATGAGCCACCACACCTGGCCAAATCATTGATTAGGCTGCATTGTGAGGATTTTGTTAACTTGGTCTTTGCAGCGCCCTGCTTTTGCCTGAGGTATATAATATACCGTAATTATTTCAATATATGCATATAAGGGTAAATGGTAATATGTGTGTAACACATTTCTATTTGTAAACTTTTTAGTCACTCAACAATTTTTACTTTAACTGCAATTTTTCAACTTACTCATGTAGGTATCTCTGATGAATATATAACACCTATGTTTAGCTTCTATAAGAGTGTTGGGGAATTGAAAATGACCCAAGAAGAGTATGCTCTGCTTACAGCAATTGTGATCCTGTCTCCAGGTAATTTCAGTGTTGCATTGTGAGTTTTTATACTATTTGGTTTTCTCAGTGGAATTGTAACAATATTTGTTAAAGAAAATCTGGAGAACACAGAAACATAAAGAAAAAGTAACACTGTTAACACTGAGTGTACTTCTCAGTCTTTTCTCTGAACATCACTGGCACACATTCAATAAATGCATATCGAACACCTGCTATATACTAACATGACCCTAGTCCTCAGTGACACACTGGATACAGTTCCCGTGGATAATAAATGAGGAAACAAAAATAAGTTTTCAGGAGATGCAAATGCTACAAAATTACAAATGAGAGTTATCTTTTCCTTATAAAGAAAGAAATGGTAGGTGAATAATATTTTCATTAGCAATTACAGAAGGCTTTTTCTAAGTGGTTCACACTTCAGCAAGTACATCCTTTATAATACAATACAGAATACATTGTGTCTTTTAAAAAATCCATATTTCTTCAAAAGTCTAAGTCATTAAAAAATTATACTGGTAGTAGTTGCTCATGCCTGTAATCCCAGCAATTAGGAGGCTGAGGCAGGAGGAGCATGAGTTTGAGGCCAGCCCACACTCTATAGTGTGTCCTTATTTCAAAAAATAAATAAAAATTATATTGGCAAAAGTTTTTTATGATTTGTGCACAATATTCCATTGTCTGGATGTACAATCATATACTTAAGTTTGTATAGCAGAATGTTCCCAATTTTCTTAAACAATGTTGAAATGAATTCCTCTGTACATAAACTTTGTACATATTTATTTATTATTTATCTTTTTTGAGATAGACTGGCATTGAACTCATGGTCCTCTTGCCTCCACCTCCCAAGTGCTGGGGTTACAGGAATGCATCACCACTGTTCTTGGCTCAAATTTGTCTGTTTTTACAATTAGTTTAATAATTTGGGAGCACGTAATGCCACATCATGATTTGTAAAGCATAATTACAATGCTAGCCTTAAGCCATTTTTATATGTGATATTGAGGCAGAAGCTAGTTGTTAATTTTTAACCATAAAAATTATAATTAAAAAAATGAAAAACTGTTAGATACTCTAAGCAATTCCACTCCTGGGAACAGACTCTCCAGAAAGGATGCTGGGGTCTATCTGCAGATTACCTTGGAGGTTTTGATTAGGAGAGAATTTAGCAAGGGTTCTAGGAAGCATTAGCTATTCCAGACCTTGCTCTACATGTGGTTCCATGGGGATATAGATATATGTATCTATGTGTGTGTGTGTGTGTGTGTGTGTGTGAAAATTCACTAAATTGAATGCTTTATACAGTTTAACTGTACATTGGTAAACATACACTTCAAAAAAGTTCACCTAATTAATGCTTTCCCCTTTTTTTATTTCATTATTTTATTTTAACAGACAGACAGTACATAAAGGATAGAGAAGCAGTAGAGAAGCTTCAGGAACCTTTGCTTGACGTGCTACAGAAGTTGTGCAAGATCCACCAGCCTGAGAACCCTCAGCATTTTGCCTGCCTCCTGGGTCGCTTGACTGAACTGCGGACATTCAACCATCACCACGCAGAGATGCTGATGTCCTGGAGGGTGAACGACCACAAGTTCACCCCACTCCTCTGTGAGATCTGGGATGTGCAGTGAAGTGTGGTCTGGGAGGCCCAGATCCTTTTCTTCCTTGTAATATGAATCTGATGTAGGCCTTTCCTTTATTTCATTTGTACTTGGTTTCACTCAAGAATCTTGATAAATATTTATGCAGTAATTATGTAACTTCTACAATTGTAAATATGGGCTAGATAGAATTACTTTCTCTACATTTTATTTTACAAGTCTTCAGGGAACCCTACAGTCTAATTGGCATGCCCTGTTGGCCTAATTAAATTGAGTGATACTTCAATTCTATCTATTGAACTAGGGAAAACTTCATTTTGCTCTTGGTCTTACTATATTTCATATATTTTATTAAAGAGTTGTGTTCAATTTTGGCAATAAACTGAACATAATGGCAACAAGCTTTTCTTTGGGAACAAAATGTAATGACTATTTCTTTAAGTGATGGAAGCATCCTATTGAACCTGGGAGTGGGAGTAATTTACAGAAAACTAAACTCTCACAAAATAGATGCTACATTTTCCATCCCTGAAGAAGTCATGGTGAATATTTATTCATTTGTACTAGCCCTCTGATCATTTTATTTTCTTTGAAGTTCAAAGAGAATAGCATACAAGTAAACGACTTTCACATAAAATATTCCCTCAAGCGATCCCTTTCTCACTGGTCAGGGTCTTGGGACCACATCTACAAATTGAGAGCATGCTGTTAGCTATAGCGATGGGATAGTCTTGTATCTCTGAAAAGTGCCCACTCTTGGCTTCAGAGCATACAATTAATCATTTTTTTTTCATTTGTTTTGCTTTTTTGAAAACACTCCTACAGCTGGGTGCACAGCTGTTGAATACTTCCTCCAAAGCAGGAATTCCTTCATTTCCTTCCTCCATTGTTCTACGGCTACATTCTTCTCCCCATTATTCTTTAGAAAATACAATAAAACACCTTCTATAAGTAATGGGCTTAAATCTCCCTTTCTGCTAAGTCAGCCAAAATGGAGCTTGCTTAGCAAGCAAATAATTTTTGTACTGAAATACAAAGTAACCCTGAAATTCTAAAGAGTCAGTAGAAAAGAAAGTGAATTGGGGTACATCAGTTGGGTTCTGTTTGATACAAGAAAAATGGCTTGAGTACTCCTTAAGTGCAAATTTATTTTTGCTAAACTCCATGCAGGATAAAAAGATGATTAAGACCCAGGAACTACCTGGAAGGGGTCCCACAGGAGTGCAGAGGAAAGTGCTGAGGGCTTACCCAGGAATCTGAGAAAGTCTCAAGGAGCTGGTGACATTTCCCACTTGGCTTCAAAGGATGGCCCAGGAGTCCATGCTAAGGATGTTCAAGGTGAAAGGGTGGCAGAAGCAAAAAAGAGGAAAGTGGGAATTGAGCAGATTCCTCGAAAGACCATAAGTAATCTGAGGTGCACCATTCCTATACAGGCATTTGTTTCATCATTGCAAAATTAAGATATCAGCTTAGAGGAATCTAGTTGATTTATGACAGCAAGTGGGAACTTGCAGGCCCACCAAGGAAGAGGGATGGTGAGGAAAGGACACTTAAGACAGAAGTAAATTTCTGACTGCCTAAAAAGATCCATCCAGTCTGAGGGAACTGAGTGTGGTTTGGTGACTCCAGATCACAATCTATGTGTAGGGAAATAGAGGGAAATGACACTTGGTGGGACCCCATATATAGAGCTGGAATCTGAATCTTGTAGGTCACATAAACAATAATACTTGTCATATGGAAGACTAATTGCAATACTATAAGAAATAGGACTTCAGAAACTTGGAATTTCCTGAAGCTTGGTATCCCTAACAAGTCCCCTTTAAGCATACCTTGGTGGGATCTCAGATAGTTTCAAGACGGGGTTGGTTGATGGAGGAATCAACCATGTGATTAAAGGGTTGGAATTTTCAGCCCCAAACTCCAATCTCTAAGGAGGAGAGAAGGGCTGGAAATTGAGTTTAACTGCCAAAGGCCAATGGGCTTAATAACCATGCCTATGTAATGGGATCAATATAAATCACCTAAGCAGAGGGATTCAGAAACCTTCTGGGTTGGTGAATATGTTGAGATGCTTCGAGGGTGGCATGTCAGGAAAGGGTATGTGGAAGCCCCGTGTTCCCCTGCAAACCCCAACACCCTCATGCTTCGTCCTGTGTATCTCTCCCATGTGGCTGTTCCTGAGTTTCATGCTTTGTAATAAACTGGTCATAGTGAGTAAACTGTTCTCTTGAGGAGGGGGTTGTGGGAGCCCCCAATTTATAGCTGGGTGGTCAGTCGAAGTGTTAATCTGGGACTTGTGATCAGCATCTGATGAGAGGGAAGGTTTACGGGACTAAGTCTTATTCTGTGGGATCCAAGCTAAATCTTGATAATTAGTGTCAGAATCATGCTGAACCGCAGGACATCCAGTTGGTATCAGAACTGATTATTGTAGAAACACCCACACATTTGGTGTCAGAATGTTGTGAGTAAAAACAGTTCACTAATTGATTTTTTTTTCAGGAAGAATTTTTGTGAGAGTAAAAACTAGTCAAAAGAGCAAGATAAAGAGTAAAAACACAGTAAAAAATTGAAAACAAGCCAGGCACTGGTGGCTTACACCTGTGATCCTAGCTACTTGGGAGGTAGAGATCTAGGGGATTGTGGTTCAAGGCCAACCTGGGCAACAAAAGTGAGATCCAACACAAAAAAGGGCTGGCAGAGTGGCTCAAGTGGAGGAGAACCTGCCTAACAAGTGTGAAGCCTAAAGTTCAAATCCCAATACCAAAAAACAAAAATTGAAAACAGGTATCATATGCATAAAGAAATACAGTACAAGCCCCAGCTACAGAGTGAGTTCAAGGCCAGCCTAGGGTACATAGTCAGACTCTGTTTCAAAGCAAAACAAAACAACCAAATAAATATGGCAGAATTTGGCTTTCTGGGTCAGATAATGCATACCACTGATAAGAGTATCACTGAAACAGATCTGTCACTAATTAGCTATATGACCCCTCCCCCCCAACCAAGTACCCCATATTTTTTAAAGCCTCTTTAACCCTCAGTTTTCTTATGTGCAAAATATGGACAATACACTTATTCCTACCTAACAGGGTGAGTGTGGAGATTAGGTTGGGCTATTGGGCAGCACACACCAGTACTCAGCACTCATTTGTAGTTCTTGTTGTTTTTAATAACATTCACTGCCATAAACTGGTATTGCTGGTGTTTTATTCCTAAATATCTCTTGAGCTTTGACATATGGAAAGACAGCAGTGAATAAATGTGATTCATGAAATTAACAATCATGTAAAGGAGACAGACAGGAAATAAGTACATAGCCATTTAGGCTGCTATAACAAAATACCATTAACTGAAGAGCTTATTAATAACAGAAGTTTATTTCTTTCATTTCTGGAGCCTGGGAAGCTCAAAGTCAAGGCACTGGCAGTGGGTTTCGTATCTGACGAGGACTGGATCTCTGGATCATGATGGCATGTCCTTAGATGGTGGAAGGATTAGTTAGCTGTCTGGAGTCTCTTTCATAAGGGCATTGAATTCCATTTGCTAGGGCTCCACCCTCATAGCAAAATCACATCCTAAAGGTCCCACCTCCTAATGCCATCACATTCCAACATATGGGTTTTGTGGTGACAAATTTTTAGACTATAATGCATCCCAGGAAGATACAGAAAGCACAGGCCCCTGCTTAATCTTTCTGCTGACTTAATCTAGCTTCAACATCACTCTCTCCTGGTGGTGGTGCTCTAGCTCACACCAGCCCTGTGGACGGTTTATTAATGGAGCCAAATACCAAGTTGTTTTGAAGTTCTGTTTTCTTCCTTTGTTTTTGAGAATTAGAAACCAATTTCACTCACTGATTCTGCAGCGAAATCTTGCTTTTTTAGAAAATTACAACTTATTTTTTTCCCCTATCATGAGAATAAGTTCAGTAAATTGTGATATATTATATTTGGTGTTAGCTGACTGTCATGGGCATCTGTTATCTTTTGGATACCCAGAATCTATCACCTTTACTTTTGATAAGAGAACTCAAGTTTCCTTAGGGGATTTGCTTGTTTTCCTTCACATGGTCCATGCATTCTGGATAGAGTTGATTCAACTCCCAGTTCCCAAGTTGGAAGTGTGACTCAGGCACAGCTAACCAGGGAATCATATATCTTGGGTCACATGATTGGTTTAGGATTAAGCATATGAGTCATTTAAAGAAAATGAGATATTTTGCTTGGGATATTTTAAGAAGGCAAGCAGTGCCAGTCATTTGCCCATGTGGGTTACCCTCTCCCTGTGATAGAAGTATATACTCAAACCTTTGCCTTGCAAGTTTTCAGTGCCTCTCACAAGAATAGGAAGAACATACATCCCTGCCCACTAATGCTGGGCTTGTTCACGTGGCTTGCTTTGGGCAGTGGAATGTGGGTGGAAGTGACAGTGTGCTAGTTTAGAGCAGAGGCCTTGGGGGATATCATATACCTCTTCTTTCACTTCTGCCATGAGAAAAGCTTGCCTTGGATAGCCACAAGTCCCCAATGAGACACGCAGGAATACCTAAACCCAGCCGCATCTTGAAGCACCACCACCCTCACTCCCCATGTGCTCACTTGCAAATCCTCAAGGCAAGATAAATCAGTGGTTATTCTTATAAGCCACTGGAAGCTGGGAGTCATTTGTTATGTAGCATTATCACAACAAAAACCTAACTGATGTACCTATTTGTGTTCAGATTCCTTTCCTTTCTCTGCTTATATTGAGGAGTTATTCCCTCAACAGGCTATATTTCATAAGTTTCCCTGTTGGCTGGGTTCTGTTTAGAACGGAAGGCACTAATGGAAGACTGGAGGATGGGAAGAATTGGAAAGACCAGGCCATTTCTCCCTTTGGTAAAGATCGCATCTCCTACATGGCTCCCAGTCCTACTGAGCAAACCCTGACCTAGTGCTGATGGTCCTGGCTTCTGAACTCTTTGAATTTCCAGGTTCTTGAATTATAGTGGCTCCTTACCGTGGCTCATTTCTGGTTGTCTCATCTGCCCCTGTTTATCAGGTCCACATTAAATTTCTTCTTGTTTTGAAGCACCTAGAATGGATTTTGTTTTCTATATTGAGCCTAAATATACAGCTACTCACCTTTTTTGAGGAAAACTACTTCTGGAAAACTATCTTGTAACCTCAAGGAATCTGAGAATAAAGCCAGCATGAAAAGTAAACAGAGATTGGATTCTGGTGATATTATTTAAAATCTTAGATCACAATTTACCTGAAGTTTGAGAGTGCTATCCTAGGATTTAATTACTTAAGACGGTACATTTTTCAGGGAGGATTTCTTTCCAATCACATATAACTAAATGTGTTAGAAATTTGATGATACTTGGATGACAAACCAATTAGAAGTAACACA